GATTCTTCAAAATGCCGATGTTTGAGCCTTTAAAGAGAGATGGGTTAATTGAATTTGAAGGTGGTGGTGATGGGCAAGTCTTAGATCTGGATACGGCGGTGAAAGACGGAGTTCTCGGCGGCGTTAATGGCGGTGGTGGAGTTCTTGATGAGAAATTGGATTTGAACAAGATGATAAAAGAGCTTGATTTACCCGAAATACCTTCGGTTTTCATTTGCCCTATCTCTTTAGAGCCGATGCAAGATCCTGTGACCTTGTGTACTGGTCAAACCTACGAAAGGTCCAACATTCACAAATGGTTTAACACAGGTCACTTGACTTGTCCAACAACAATGCAGGAGATTTGGGATGATACGGTAACTCCTAACAAAACCCTTCACCATTTGATCTACACTTGGTTCTCTCAGAAGTATGTCTTGATGAAGAAACGGTCTGAGGATGTTCAAGGAAGAGCTATTGAGATTTTGGGGACATTGAAGAAAGCTAAAGGTCAAGCTAGGGTTCATGCGTTGAGCGAGCTTAAACGGATATGTGTAGCTCATTTGATGGCTAGGAAGACTGTTGTTGAAGAAGGTGGTGTCTCTGTGTTGTCTTCTCTTTTAGGTCCTTTCACTTCTCACGCCGTTGGATCTGAGGTAGTTGCGATTCTTGTGAGTCTTGATCTTGATTCGGATTCGAAATCCGGGTTGATGCAACCTGCTAAGGTTTCTTTGATTGTTGATATGTTGAATGATGGATCGAACGAAACCAAGATCAATTGTGCTAGATTGATAAGGGGATTAGTGGAAGAGAAAGGGTTTAGAGCAGAGCTTGTTTCGAGTCATAGTTTGCTTGTTGGGTTAATGAGATTGGTTAAGGATAAGAGACATAGAAATGGAGTTTCTCCTGCACTTGGGTTGCTCAAACCAATATCTGTTCATAAACAAGTTCGGAACTTGATGGTTAGCATTGGAGCGGTGCCTCAATTAGTCGATATTTTACCGTCTTTAGACCCTGAATGTTTGGAGTTAGCTTTGTTTGTTCTTGATGCTTTGTGTTCAGACATGGAAGGAAGAGTTGCTGTCAAAGACTCTGCAAATACCATAGCGTATACCGTCAGGGTATTGATGAGGGTGTCTGAGAATTGCACTAACTACGCGCTGTCGATTCTTTGGTCTGTTTGCAAATTAGCTCCAGAGGAGTGTTCGCCTCTTGCTGTTGAGGTCGGTTTGGCCGCAAAACTCTTGCTCGTGATCCAGAGCGGGTGTGATCAGGCGTTGAAGCAATGTTCGGCAGAGCTACTCAAGCTCTGTAGTCTACATTATTCAGACACCATGTTTATTTCCAAATGCAAACTCACGAGGACAATCCAATAGCAAAAGTTTAAATCTTTGATACCGATCAATCACGCTACATATATTGCAGCGGATATCCATGAAATGGTACATTTGAGTTGCGAATCTGCCTCTGCCCTGATGAAGAGTTTGAAGTTTGGTTTTGGCGGTAACAATTCAAAGGCAGATGGAAACAGAAGCCGGGCGGGTGAGGATGTGTATGTAACGTTTTCATATCAGTTCGATTTGCAATAAAACAGTTGGAAATTAGCATAAAAAAAACTGTGTAAAGGTACCGCCTTTGGTTCAATCAATTTCAGAAGAAAGAAAGAATTTGAAGTAAGGAACAAATATTAGTCTCTGATTGTTTACCTTGTGAGGGGTTGTTTTGCTTTTTTGACCACTCACAACAGAAGAAATAAAGCAAAATCTTTTGACCTGAACTTGTGGCCTCTTTTAAGCTTTCGAATCTTTTTTTTTGTGTTAATTCAATGTTTTTCATTAGCTTTTCTTAGATTAGGAGATTTGACAATTGTCTTGACCTCATTGTTCAATATTATAATTAGCTGAGTTCATTTTTGTTCCCAAACCTACTTATGGAATGTGATATAAAAATAGTTAGAATAACCTTACTATTTTTTTATTGTTGAAATAACCTATTCTAGATTTTTTTTTTTTATAATATCAAAATTGTCCTTCGCAGACTCTGCCAAAACATTAGCAGATCTTGCCGAAACATTAGCAGATTCTGCCGAAACATTGGCAGACTCTGCCAAATCATTGGTAGACTCTGCGGAAACATTGGTAGACTCTACCGATGTATTGGCAGACTCTGCAAATACGTAGACTCTACCAATGTTCGGCAGAGTCTGCCAATACCTCGGCAGAATCTGCCAAAAACAATTTTGATATTATTAAAAAAAAATCCAGAATAGATTATTTCAGCAATAACAAAAATGGTAAGATTATTCTAGCTATTATTTTTAAAAAGTAGGTTATTCTAGGTAAATTTTTCTATAAAAAAACACCAAAAATGTGATTCATGAAAAATTAAACACTGTTGTTTTTGTGGAGTAGACATCTTAAAGTACAGTTCGAAGCGAATATGATTCTTTGTCTAATAAGTTGAGCAGAAGTTGTGGTCGAGACCGAAAGTCTTTCCATACATTGTTATGAACTGTATATTGTTCCAATGAACAATTGAAAAGAAAGTGAGATTTGACAAGTGAATCATTCATCTATTTACTGTTTTTTAGGCTTATTAACACTTGTTTGTTTGAGTTTTTCTTTTGGAAATGAGTCTGAGCAAATCTCTGTTTTGAGTGGGTATGTGTATTTATAAGGATGTGATGTGAGCACAAACTATAAGAAGAAAACAAGAGACGCTAGAGTTTCAAACTAATGGGCTTTAAAAATTAAGCTCATTTTGTTATCTAAACGATATCGTTTTCGTAGGTTGGATTTAATGTTAATGGTGTGTTTTCGTTTAAGGTCTCTCTGACATCTAACATATTTATTTTTCAGGCATCTGTTGACTTTAATCTAAATAAATTATAAATTTTCTTAGACATTGAGAACTGTCTTATGTCTGCCCGCTCTAAGTTTGATACAAGTCATGTATATCAAAATATGAGAAATGCCATGAAAACTCTCAATGGCTTCATCTTCTTTGAATGTAGATGATATTGTGGGGATCTATTATACCTGGCTACTCTTATCTCTAAGTTTTCTGAAAACGAATAGATTTTGGGGTATACGATTGATAAAAGAGATGACTGTTTATCAGATGAAGATAGATTTAAGTCGGTTGACGAGAAGAATGTGATTAAATCTAATTCGATTAAGAAGAAAAGCGAGTTGATTGCAGATTGGCAGAAAAAATCCATTCGCATAAGCTTGAGCACAGTTTTTTTGCCAAGAAGAAATTTGGGTTCAAACATTGCATTCTTTATGTCAAAGATTTCTTGGTGGAAAAACAACATCCGATCATCCATGTGAAATAATC